GCAGGTTGGAGGAAGAAAAGCTGCTACTACATCCAAAGCAATGAGGGGAGCAACAGTAAGAGAGAGAGTCCACAGCAGTGCATTAGCTTCTTGCAGGCTGCCAGTTGGACAGCCCCTGCTTCAGAGCATTCTGAAGCAAGTAATCTAACCAGATGCATTGTTAAACTGAATGATGTGCTAAATGAAATATGTTTCTGGAGCAGGAGATATATTAAAAGTTGATCTATTGCTTAATTCATTTCTCCATTTTCCAAGTCATGCTACGTAATTAATTTTTAGGCCCTTTTGATTTCTCTGGTGTCATAAAAACCTAGAAGTGACTTGTTATAAGATGGATATTCTTCTCCCAGGGAAGTAGCTGTTACTAGGTCTGTCTTTTGTGACACACTAAATGCTAACAAGGGGCACTTACATGCATGAAGGCTGCTCTGATGCACTGTAAATGCAGCATGTCGCAGCAGACTCAATCGAGCCTGCTGGAGCATGAAAATTAACACACACTCCAGCAGCCTCCAGCGTCATGTGCATCAGTGTCCCCACATTGAAAAAATGGTGGAGGGGTGCTTTGAACTAAAGCTTATTCTAATGAGCTTTAGTTCAAAGCACCCCACTGCCATTTTTCCAGTGCAGGGAGGCTAATACGTGACACTCAGGTGCTTTTAATTAGCATGGCTTGCTAATTAAAGCTCCCTGTCTCTCCGTACTTTCTGGAGCACGTCTAGTAATGCCCAAGGTGTCCTACCTGTTAGTCTCTTTTCTGCTTAATCCATCATCAGAGTAGCTATACACCCTTTACAGCCTTGAAACAAAGCCTCAGTGGCTAAAAGCTGTGAAGAATTAATAGGTCTTGGGGACCATGATAGACAGGAAGATGCTATGGCACTTTTCAGAATAGTGTTGCGAAATCCATAGTGGGCCAAAGTTTAATGACCAACATTTATAGTAGCCCAACTCAGCTTTCAAGAAATAAGTCATCAATGCTAATATCATTCTGTAAGTAAACTTTTTATGTTAAACGTATTTAAATTCTTCAGGCAACTCAAAATCTAATTTTGTCTTCCTAACACAATTTTATTTTATAAGTATTTAATGTTTAGCTTGCGGTAGTGCAAGAATTCTTATGATACAACTCATAATGGAGCAGTAAATACAGAATTTAAAAGTATATTTCCGAATTAATTATTTTTATTGAACTTCAAAAACTGAATAGTGACAGAAATTCATCAAGTGAAAATGCATGCTTGCACTATAGTACAATAAAAAGGACTATACATACTATGGAATTGTGTAACTTTATAAAAAAACAAACGTTCTCTGAGGAACTTTATACACAAGAAGTGTAAGATTTGCTTAGAATTCTCTTTTGGTATTTAATATTTTCTTTCATTATACTCTAATGGCTACTGTACTACAAGATCTTAAGTATGGGCATAATTTTACTTGAGTAACCTCATGGATTTTGGTAGGACTATGTATGTTAACAAAATAATCCAGGTAATTTAAATCCTTGTGAAATGAATACGCATTTAAGTAATCCTCCAGACTATTTAAATAGTGAAGCTAAGTGGGCTGAATAAGAGGAATATATCAACCTTCCTGTTTCAGCAAATTAGGAAGAGATAACATGAATTGTGTATACTGCATTTTGTGTAGCAAGTCCCTGAATTTATTCGTTTCATAAGTAGTATTCTTTAAATTAACAGCAGCTGGGTTTTTTGTCCATTTGGTCATCTAATGCCTTTATCCAGGTTCTCTTATAAAAAGCTTACATTTTTACTTCTAAGTGAAAACTAAAATGAGGGCTAGACTTGGACAAGCTAGCATCATATTGTATCTGTAGCAAGATCTCGCTAATTAAGATTGCTTAACATCTCTTGGAAGAATTCTACAAATATATTATCTATTGTGCAAGGCAGAAAGGTTTTTGATCTCATATCCAAAATTAGTTTTTATATATAAAATGCAAATGCTAGTAGTTGACTATACTACTTTGCCATTTGTTGGACAATATATATGTAAGCATTAATTCATAATTTTATTTTTTCTCAAATATTTATTTTGAAATACTTGAGTGTTTATTCTAATAGAAAATAAAAATAAATAAAATTCCTGATATCCAAAGGGTAATGAGTGTGTGTTGGTTGAGTTTTATAAGATTGTGTTTTACATATTAACACAAAATTTGCATTTCAGACTTACTTGGCTCTTACCTTAAACCTCCCAACATGTTGACTTTTCCTGGAGCCACTAATGGGAATGTGCTTCCTTCTGGCCCTCATTTTCTCTTTGATCTCTGGCATCCCATGTCTACACCTGGGTCAAAGAGCTGTTGTCCATCTCTACAATATTTTGTGTTTTCCTGTCTTTGACATTTAGGAAAAAAAATGTTTGTCTTTCCATCTCCTTCCTTGCCCTCTCTCGCCCCTCCAGTTCCCTAGTTTCCCCTTCATTTATTAATGATAGAAATACTCCTTTCTCTGGGAGGTGAAGTCATTGACTGGATTTCATAATGGTTTCAATTTCCTGACCTTTGGGGCATAGTGTAAGGTCCATTTATTTTTCCCAGTCTGAGGAAATGTGAAGTGTCTGGTGGAAGATGTCCAAGACCCTACATGTGTATTTTGCTGCCACATGTCGCTGTAGCTGTGGTACTTTATCACTGAACAGGGGAATTGGAAGAGAGGTATATTTCATGGCTGTGCATTTAAGAAATGGCAGTGGGATGCCTAGGCCCAAGGGTCAGTACTGTTCCTTTAGAGGGTGTGTGCTTGTCTAAATAAATTTCCTACACTCGTACGCTACAGTGGAATTTTGTAAGCCTGGAGGTATGAACATATGGTAGTATTTGTTCTTTATTGCAGTGATAGTCCGAGCTGCTGACTGTAAGAAGGTGTACCAGATAGAGCTTGTGCCCAAAGAGAAAATTATTGTCCTCGTCTGTGGTCGGAACCATCACGTTCACTTATACCCCTGGGCCTCCCTGGATGGATCAGAAGGCAACTTTGATATCAAACTTCCGGAAACTAAAGGCTGCCAATTTATTACAACTGGAACACTGAAGAAAAGTTCTTCTGTTTGCTTGTTTGTGGCAGTCAAACGACAGGTTCTTTGCTATGAAACTCACAGAACTAAACCTTTCCACAAAAAATTCAGTGAAATTCAGGCTCCAGGAACCGTACAGTGGATGTCAGTGTTCAAGGACAAGCTCTGTGTTGGCTACCAGTCTGGGTTCTCTCTGTTGAACATCCAGGGAGACGGACAGTCTATAAACCTGGTAAATCCTAATGACCCCTCGCTTATGTTCCTCTCACAGCAGTCTTTTGATGCCCTTTGTGCTGTGGAACTCAGTAATGAGGAATACCTGCTTTGCTTCAGCCATATAGGATTGTACGTCGATTCACAAGGTCGAAGGTCACGCATGCAGGAACTAATGTGGCCTGCAACTCCTGTTGCCTGTAGTATGTATATGTTTTTCTGTTGCAATATCGCTGTTGCTGCTTTACTTGTCTAAAAATATTCAGCACATATTCTATTTTGCTTTGGTATTGTCTGAACTTCTCCAGTTGAAATGTTGATGAATTAATAGAATAGTGTTCCCTCCTGTTAGCATTGTTAAAGATCACCACACTTGACACTTGGTGCAGAAATCCTGGATGCTACTAGAAAGAATTTTTTTGTCACAGAAGACAGGTAGGGGAGAAACCCTAGACATAAGGCAAGAAAAGAGTTTCCATATGAAATTCATATCTGATTGACCCAACAGTAACCTGGATACAGGATACCAAAAGACGAATCAGTATGCAAGTTCTTTATTATACAAATCATGGCTTACTTTGCTACATGATTTAAAATTAAAGTTGTCTTCTGGTTACTTTCTGCATGCTGGACTCAAAAAAAATTGACAAAGGTGTAAATCAGAATTCCTGACTTCCTAAGAGAGGGCAGGAGTCAAGAAAAATGATGCTTTTGTTAGAGCTGGAGCTGGTCATACCATTTCCCCTCCTTTCACTTGACAGTCATCCCCAAATGTGTTATGTTTTTCAACCTGGTCTAGCTCTGAGATTTGTCAGCTCTTTAGGACAGGGCACAAATGAGTCAGCAGCTTGCTGGCAGCTTAGAAATTTTTTTCATTATTGTTTATTTTTACTATGATAGTTTTTGTGTTTTATTATAAACAATATGGAGCTTAAATGTCAATGAGAATTCATTCTGAAGGACTAGGGACAGAGAGAAAGCAAGTGTATAAATACTAAATTCAACCATGGGGTAAACTAGCTGCCCAAACTGCCAGCCCTTAATGGTTTATTTTAGTTTAAGAGTCCTCAACAGAAATTGCTTGCTTGATTTACTGACTCAGTTCTGTACATCAGAGTTTGAACCAGGGACACCAGGAAGGGATGTAGTCAGCAAATTCACTTTCAAACCAGGTTAGCCAAAACGAATATTTGTTTTTTCCAGCAGTTTTTGTTGTATTGTATTTCAGTAAATGAGTGTAGTAGAGTGCTGTGTTACTACTTTCTATTATCATGAGCTTTTTTCAGATCTTTTGCACGTTCAGTTTGCAGTTTGGCATTGACCCAGAGATAAAGTGGGGAAGATGACTTGCCCTACTGCCAATGTGTTACTTGCCTTTTCACTAGCCTACTCTTCCTGCCTCCGTTCTGGTGCTCTGTGTGTTAGTGCTGTGGGTGGCTTTTTGTCCTTTCCTCCGTAGTTACCCCTTAATGAGGACACAAAACCAGAAGAGGCATTTAGTTGTTTTTCCTTTTGCAGTTACTAAGAGGTTGGCTGTTAGATTATATCATGTAGTGGAATTTGTTTAATTTCTAGACCTTACTGATAGGACACGTTCTCCCTTTAAGACAGTAGTTCTGCAGTGCGCAGTGTGCCTTCCAGAGGTGCTGGGATGTGGGTGCTGCCATGGCCAGGTTAAAATGCCCTGCATGCCTCCTGTGGAGGTAGATAAGGAAGCAGCTGGAGCCTGTGCTCTTCCTGCAGCCTTTCCCAGTCCACCCCCACATGCTTCTCCCAGAAACAGAGGTGTGCTTTGCCCGCTCTTGTTTCCCAGAGAAGCATGCAGGTTTGGACCCCTGCCCTTCTTCCACCTCCTGGGCACAGGGGAGTTTGCGTAGAGCTCAAAACTCCATCAGTTTTGTCTCTGTTCCTGCTTGCTTTAGCTTTATCAGAAAACCCTACAGGCAGGAGTGAGGGACAGTTCCCCAGCTGAGAGCCACCAAGGTCATTGGAGGAAGCACAATAGTGGTTCTCAACCAGGAGTGCTGCCAAATTCAGAAGTGGTGGAAGGTGCCCTGACTTCAAAAAAAAAAAAAAAAAAAAAAAAAAAA